ACGGCGATGTTGGCTGGAACACGAAGTGCATGATCTCGGGGGGCCGACCAATACATATATAGATATACATACATACATACATACATACAGACATACATACATACGTATATATATATAAGATTGGGGGTGAGATCGCAGCGGAACGGAGACCCCTAACGGGAAATCGTTTCGTTTCGTTCGTGCCGCGCGCGCGGGCGAGGCGAAGCTGCGCGGGCGCGCGAGAGGAATGAACCCGCCGTTGATAGGGCGAAGTCAAGACAAATGATTAGCCCCCTCCCGCCCGTCCGGCGGTGGCTCGCGGTGTCCCGCGGTGTCCCGCGGTGTCCCGTGGTGTCCCGTGGTGTCCTGTGGTGCCCGCCGCTGCTGGGGCGAATTCGAATGATTATCCCCCTCCCGCCCGTCCGGCGGTGGCTCGCAGTGTCCCGCGGTGTCCCGTGGTGTCCTGTGGTGTCCCGTGGTCTCGCGTGGTGTCCCGTTGAGTGAGATCGATATTGAGATCGATGTGGTGCCCCGAGGTGCCCCGTGGTGTCCCAAAAAGTGAGATCGACAATGAGATCGATAGGTGTTTCGTGGTGTCCCGTTGAGTGAGATCGATAGTGAGATCGATAGCGAGATCGATACTGAACGACGCAGTGCCTCGAGGTGTCCCGTGGTGTCCCGTAACGTCCCAAAAAGTGAAGCTGATAGTGAGATCGATAGTGAGATCGAGAGGTGTCCCGAGGTATTCCGTGGTGTCCCGTTGAGTGAGATCGATAGTGAGATCGATGTGGTGTCCCATGGTGTCCCGTGGTGTTATGCCGTCCCGTTGAGTGATATCGATAGTGAGATCGATAGTGAGATCGAGAGGTGTCCCGAGGTATTCCGTGGGGTCCCGTTGAGTGAGATCGATAGTGAGATCGATTGAGACAGATGTTGGTTTCCCCTTTCTCCCCCCCCCACACAACCTCCTTATCACCCGAAGGGTGGTCGTATTGGTATCTACGTACATAACTACACATCTACATGTGCATATGCATTTGCATCTATTTATACATATACATATACATAAGCACCCATGCAAATACATATACCTATACACAAACACATATACATATACAAGTTCCTGTACATATGCATGCCTGTATGTCTATATGTCTGTTTGTCCGTCTGTCTGTCTGTCCGTCCGTCCATCTGTCTGTCTGTCTGTCTATCTGTCTGTCTGTCTGTCTGTCTGTCTGTCTGTCTGTCTGTCTGTCTGTCTGTCTGTCTCTCTCTCTCTCTCTTCCTCTCTCTCTTTCTCTCTCTCTCTCTCTCTCTTTCTCTCTATCTATCTCTCTCTCTCTCTTTCCCCCCTCTTCCTCTGTCGTTGTTGTTTCTCTCTCTCTCTCTGTCTCTCTCTCTCTCTCTCTCTCGCTCTCTTTTTCCTGTACATATGTGCGTCTTCTCCCTCCCTCCGCTATCCTTCCTCCTCCGCCCTTGCTCCTCATCCATGCCCCACATCCTTCCTTCTCTGCCCCGCGACACGGACCCATCTGAGGGTTGCAGGGCTCACGGCAGCAAGTTCAGATTTGGATTGCAGTTGTCTCCTCACTTTCCTCCCTGCGACACTGGCAAACGTACCTGGGCAGCTGATTGTAGTCGCCCAAATCTAGCTGATGGGGGATGGGAGGGGCCAGCAGAAAGAAGCGCGTTAGCTACGGCAGGTATGGGCACGCCGGCGGCGGCGGCGACGGCGACGATGGCGACGGTGATGACGGCGACGGGTAGCGCGCAGCCGGGCCAGGCTGCCGCCGCAGGCAGCGCCATTGGCCCCGCCGATGCTGGGGTCGCCTTCGCCGTGGCTCTGACTCGCCCCGCCTGGCCCGAATCAGAGGATCGCGGCTTCCCACAATTTGGGGTTTTTGCTGACAACGGTTTAGTCGCAGCGGTGGGCGCGCGCGCACTGCGTCCGCAGCCTAACCGGAGGAGCTGCCTGGCGAATTGCACACCAGCGGGGCGGGAAAGGAGGAAAGGAGAAGGGCGAAGGGGGAAAGGAAGGGGAGGGGAGAAGGAAAAGTGGAAGGAAGGGGAAATGGAAAGGGGAAAGGGCGAACGGGGAAAGGAGGGGGAAAGGCAGGGGTAAAGAGAAGGCGACCGCGGAGGACGACGCACTCAGGCCATGAAGATCTTCGCAGCCTGTGTGGCGGCCCCGCCTTGCTGACACGCAGCCCACAGAGCAAGGGGGCGATCGAAAACGATTCCTTCGACCTCGACTACCTCCAGCAGCGCCACTCCTCCTCCTCCCCCTCCTCCACCTCCTCCTCTTCTTCCTCCTCCTTCTCCTCCTCCTCCTCTCCTTCCTCCTCCTCCTCCTCCTCCTCCTCCTCCTCTCCTCCCCCTCCTCCTCCCTCTTCCTCCTCCTCCTGCTCCTGATCTTCCCCTCGTCCTCCTCCTCCTTCTCCTCCTCCTCCTCCTCCTCCTCCTCCTCCTCCTCCTGTTCCGCCTCCCCAGACGCTCCAACCTCCTCCTTTTTCCGCCCCCTCTCAAATACAATTTCGGCTCAGGCTAGCTTCGGTTCGGGTGAGCTAGCTGACTGCGCCGCGATGCCTCAGGGTTGTACCATGTATGTGTGCTGACTTGATCGCTGGTGTTTTCCTCCTCGACCTTCTCCTGCTCCCTGCTTTCGGTTTCATGTGCATCTTGCCCCAGGAAGCTCCAGAGAAGTCGATGAGGCCCCGAGCGCAGGCACCAGGAAGGCCAAGGATGCAACAGGGAGCCCGGGAACCCCACGAAGATTCGGGAGCTACCAGCGGGCCACAGGACACACCATCGGGAATACTTATACAGGTTTCGGAGCGTTTGCTCGTGCGCTGGTCCACGGGATAACGCACGGTTTGCAGCCAGTCGCATGTCAGTGCACAATTCAGTTCTCTTGTCAAAAGAACCCCCCCCCAGGGTTAACCGCCCCTCTTTCCGCATTGCGATTTACATATGATTATGCCTCATCGTTCATTTCGCATGTGAAGCCATACCATCCCAGGCGAGGGGGTATCGCCCACCCACCCCACCACCCCCCGTCATCCTTGCCAGGTACTACGATGCGCGCACGCTCGTTTGTCTCAAAAGCCCACTGCTCATTAGAAGTCTACACGAGCGCGCACATGTCGAAATCAGACCTGACACACATTAGTTGTCAAAGCACTTCAACAAAAAGCATCAAAAACCGTAGGCGTGTCATTGCAAGTATTGCAGCTGTTCTACCCGCGCGCACTTGCCGAAATCGTACGAGAACCATATGATTTGAGCCTTGTCCTCCAGAGCCCGCATTCCCATCCCACCACGCGGTGCATCGGCGTTGATCTAGCATACGCCCAGTGCACGAATCCGTATAAGCTAAAACCATGCGGACCACACGCGCGCGCCGCCACGCGCGCGTGTCGAAATCTGTTCAAAACCATGGGTGCTCCAAGCATTTCAAGATGGAGCCTTTCAAAACCATATGGAACGAACTACATGTCATTACAATCCCAAGTCTGCCAGATTTCTTGATTTTCTGCGCCCGCACTTCCCCACCATCAGCCGCATCAGCGCCGTCGCATCACTGCCGTTATCGTCATCGCCTATCGCCGCGGTTGTTGCCATCATCAGTCAAACACCTCCATCGCCGACACATGGACATCATCATCTTCATCGTCGACACCAGCATCGATGCTGTCATTGGCCTTGCTGTCGTCACCGTCATCAACGCCACCGCCGTTGTGTCTACCATCATGCACTCAAGTGCCCGAGCGCTGGCGTGGCCTTTGAAACACGTTGAGAAGTTCCCATCGACAAGCGCCATCATGGCTGCATCAGTGGTGCCAGACCAGGTGGCCTCTCTGGACGCGAGCTCCGCGCGGCCGCGTGGCCGCAGAGATGCGCCAGCCAGTGCCAAGCATATCCGCTGCAGCGGCCGCATGCGCATTGCAAAACAAGTTGTGGGTGGGAGGGTGGATGTTTGCGCGAGTAGTGGACTTGACAACTTCAATTGAGCAGAAACCGATTGACAACGCATGTAGATCCCCCTCTTCAAAAGGAGAACAGGCTCGACCACCCTCCCGAGCTCAGACTTATCGATCCCCCTGGGACATTGCAAATTGCACACGGTCCTGCCCCATGGTCCATGTTGAGTGAGAAATCACAACATCCCCCCACCATGCTTGCCAAATGCTACCACGCGCGCACCCGTCCACCTCAGAAAATTATGTTGCGAGGACCCCGTGCCCAAAACACCACAAAGTCCACGTGCGCACACATGCCGAAACCATACAAAACACATTAACGATGCAAGAATTTCAACCTACCAAAACAAAAAACAGGGCGTTCCATCAAAAAGCTTGCATGCTTTCTACCCTCACACACTCGCTGAAATCGCCCGACGACCATACGATTGTAGCAGTTTCGTCCAGCACACGAATTCTCACCTTACCACGCGGTGCATCTGCATTGATCTAAGTGATACCGAGCGCGCAAACCCGCACTAATAGATTCCATGCGCGCCACACGCGCGTGCGCCGCCATGCGCGCGCGTCTGGTTTTAACGAGATGTTCCCGATGCATCCCAAGATGGAGCTCTGCAACAGAATGTGGAAAGCCATGTGTGTGTGTGTTTCAAGACAAAGCTTGCCAGATTTCTTCATTTTCTGCACCATCCCCCCCACCAGCACCATCGCACCACCGCCGTCATCGCCATCGCCAATCGGCGCCATAGGCGCCAGCATAAGCAGAATCATTTTCATCACTGGCGCATGGAGATCCTCATCGGCATCGCCGTCACCAGCATCGGTGCCGTCATTGGCCTTGCCGGCACCATCGTCACCATCGCCACCACCATCGTGCTTATCATCATCGTTGCCGCCGCTGTCGACACCATCACGGCACTGCACCGGCCCGAGTTATGGACCCGCAGTGAAGCGCCCGCGCGTCAGCGCGGCCTTCGACACACGCTGGAAAGCTTCCATCGGTAAGCGCCATCGCGGTCGCATCAGCTCTGTCAAACCAGCTGGTCGTTCTGCGCGCGAGCGTTGGCGCGCCAGCGCGGCCGCGCAGATTCGCAAGCAAGTGCCAATCGGCAACCGCAATCGCGGCCGCAAGCGTTTTGCCAAACAAGTTGTGGGCGGGAGGGTGGGATGATTACGCGCGCATGTTAGTTGACAACTCTTTAGTCGACAAATATTTGATTAGCCATCATGGACCCCAAGCAGTATGTTCTAGCATACCAGGTGTTTCGAGCTATGCGGTGCATGCTACGTGGTGCAGTATATGTGATGTGAGCGATGCGGTGCAAGATACGTGGTGCAATACATGTGGTAGGAGCTAACGTGTTCATCTGATGCATCGATGTGATGACGCCTATATGGTGCGATCTATTGGGTGCGAGCTGCATGGTCCAATCTATGTGGTGCCCTTCACGTGGTGCGATCGACGTGTCGCAACCGATGCAGGGCAACTCATGTGTTTCAATCTCTAGTGGTGCAATAAATGCAGTGCAACCTATATGGTGTGAGCTATGTGGTGTAGGCTATGAGGTGATATACGATGCACAGCCATGCAAAGCAGTGAGAGGCAGCGCAAAGCAATGCCGAGCAACGCCAAGTAATGCAACGCAAGGTAGTGCAAGACAGCAAAGTAATGCGAAGAAATGCAGATCGTTTGAAGCAGCGCAGAGGATAGCCAACAGAGCAACGCAAATCCATGAATTGCCACGCAACGCAGCTCAAAGCAATGCGAAGTAACGCGAAGCAGGGCAAAGCATTGCAACGCTACGTAGTGCCAAGCAGTGCGATTGCAACGCAAAGCTATCAAAAGCATTGCAAAGCAATGCAACGCGATGCAAAGCAGCGCAAAGTACCGCCAAGCAATGCACGCAGGGCAATGCAAAGCACGCCATAGCAATGCAAAGCACCACTAACCAAACAAAGCAGTGCAACGCAAAGCAACGCCAAGCAACGCAAAGCAATTCGAAGCACTACAAAGCGGGCGGGGACGAGGCGGCGGGCAGCGGCGAGGCGGCGACGGCGGCCACATGGCGGCCAGAGCGGCCCACGGGCCCGGGCGACGGGCGGCGACGAGGCGGCGACGGCGGCCACGTGGCCACATGGCGGCCAGAGCGGCCCGCAGGCCCAGTTCCTTAGAAGACAAGCAAGAACCCCTAAGTGCAAGCACTTTTTCGGGAATTTACACAACATAGCTTGCACCACATAGCTTACAGCGCACCCGAACAATCGTAAAGACGTTTCAAACGAAACCACGACCAAACCAAGCCCAACCAGGCAAAGCGCAAGGACGTATCAGTCGAAACCGCGCCCAATCCATGCCAGACCAGAAAAATCGCGCGGGCGTGCCCGGCGAAATTGTGCCGAAACAATGCCAAACCAGACAAAGTGCGAGAACGTTTCAATCGAAACCGCGATGCCAAACCAGGGAAATCGTGAAGACTTGTCAAGCACAACCGAGCCAAAACCACGCCAAACCAAGAAAATTGCGAGGACCTCTCATGTGAAGCCGCCCAAAACCAAAGCCGAAGTCAGGTAAAGCACGAGGATGTGTCAGTCGGGGCGCATTGCGAAACCACGCCGGGCAAAACAAGTGGCCATGCCAGGCAAATTCCGAAGACGTGCTGAGTACAACGCCTCAAATGTGACTCCATCCATTTTTCCGAACAACACGAAAGAAGTGGATGACACAAGGGGGCCCCGTCGGAAAGGGCCACTGAATTAAAATGTTGCAATGGGGGAATCGAGGCGCAACATAACCCACGTGGCTGGGGCGCAAGCGCATGCATGTGCCTGTCTGTTCTTGTTCGAGTTTCGGTGTGGCGCAATGAGAAATTCCCGAGGCAAAACAGGAGCAAGA